GATTGGCACGGACGCTTTTCTGCAAAAAGTGCTTTTGCGGAAAAGCGTCCGTGCCAATCTAGACGCCCTTTTCCACAAATGCTTTTAACGGAAAAATTTTCCGTTAAAAGCATTTGCGGAAAATCATGCCAGTCTAGATGTAGCCCAGATGTGGTCCCCCGAGTACGAAATAAAGGGGAATAATCACTTCTCTAAACCTGCTGGAAATGCTCCTCCTAATGCCCCCTAATATGCCATTAGCCTTCTTGGCTACAAGGGCCCACTGTTGACTCTCATCCAGCTTCTCATCTGCTGTTATCCAGCAGAAGAGGACCTGGGAACTGCAGCTTAGCCAGTCGGTCCCCACCCTGTAACAATGCTTGGGATTCTTCCATCCCAAGGGAAGGACTCTGCACTTGTCCTTGTTGAATCTCATCAGATTTATTTTGGCCCAATCCTCTAATCTCTCCACATCACTCTGGACCTTATCTCTGCCCTGCAGCATATTTACCCCTCCCCCTAGTTTAGTGTCATCTGCAAACTTACTGAGGGTGCCATCTATCCCCTTGTCCAGGTCATTAATAAAGATGTTGAACAAAACGGGTCCTAGAACAGATGCTTGGGGGTATGTCTACACTACCCCCCTAGTTCGAACTAGGGGGGTAATGTATGCATACCGAACTTGCTCCAATGTGTCTGGATCACTCTGGACCTCACCCCTGCCCTCCAACGTACCTACCTCATAGACTTTAAGGTCAGAAGGGACCATTATGACCATCTAGTCTGACCCCCTGCACAATGCAGGCCACAGAATCTCACCCACCCACTCCTGGAATAATCCTCTCACCCATAGTTCCGATATTGAAGTCCTCAAATGATGGTTTAACGACCCCAAGATGCAGAGAATCCTCCAGCAACTGACCCATGCCCCATGCTACAGAGGAAGGTGAAAAACCTCCAGGGCCTCAGCCAATCTACCCAGGAGGAAAATTCCTTCCCGACCCCAAATATGGTGATCAGCTGAACCCTGAGCATGTGGGCAAGACTCACCAGCCGGACACCCAGGAAAAGTTCTCTTCAGTAACTCCTATCATCCCACCATTGGCCTTTTTACCACTAATAGTGAAAGGTCAATTAGTTGCCAAGATCATGTTATCCCATAAAACCATCCCCTTCATAAACCCATCTAGCTTAATCTTAAAACCAGACAGGTCTTTTGCCCCCACTACTTCTCTTGGAAGGCTGTTCCAGAACTTCACTCCTCTAATGGTTAGAAACCTTCATCTAATTTTGAGTCTAAACTTCCTGGTAGCCAGTTTATATCCATTTGTTCTTGTGTCCACATTGGTATTGAGCTTAAATAATTCCTCTCCCTTCCTGGTATTTATCCCTCAATATATTTAAAGAGAGCAGTCATGTCTCCCCTCAGCCTTCTTTTGGTTAAAGTAAACAAGCCAAGCTCCTTGAGTCTCCTTTCATAAGACAGGTTTTCCATTCCTCGGATCATCCTAGTGGCCCTTCTTTGTACCTGTTCCAGTTTGAATTCATCCTTCTTAAACATGGGAGACCAGAACTGCACACAGTATTCCAAATGGGGTCTCACCAATGCCTTGTATAACGGCACTAACACCTCCTTATGCCTACTGGAAATACCTCGCCTAATACATCCCAAGACCGTATTTGCTTTTTTCACGGCCATGGCACAATGGCGGCTCATAGTCATCCTGTGACCAACCAGGACTCCGAGGTCCTTCTCCTCTTCCGTCACTTCCAACTGATGTGTCCCCAGCCTATAACTAAAATTCTTCTTATTAATCCCTAAATGCATAACCTTACACTTCTCACTATTAAATTTCATCCTGTTGCTATCACTCCAATTTACAAGATCATCCAGATCTTCCTGTATGATATCCCGATCCTTTACTGAATTGGCAATACCTCCCAACTTTGTGTCATCCGCAAACTTTATTAGCACACTCCCACTTTTGGTGCCGAGGTCAGTAATAAAAAGATTAAATAAGATTGGTCCCAAAACTGATCCCTGAGGAACGCCGCTAGTAATCTCCCTCCAACCTGACAGTTCACCTTTCAGTATGATCCTCTGTAGTCTCCCCTTTAACCAGTTGCTTATCCACCTCTCAATTTTCATATTGATCCCCATCTTTTCCAATGTAACCAATAATTCCCCAGGAGGTATTGTATCAAATGCTTTACTAAAATCGAGGTAGATTAGATCCACTGCATTTCCTTTATCTAAAAAAAATCTGTTACTTTCTCAAAGAAGGAGATCAGGTTGGTTTGGCACGATCTACCTTTTGTAAAACCATGTTGTAATTTGTCCCAATTGCCATTAACTTCAATATCCCTAACTACTTTCTCCTTCACATTTTTTTCCAAGACCTTGAATACTACAGATGTCAAACTAACAGGCCTGTAGTTACCCGGGTCACTTTTTTTCCCTCTTTCTTAAAAATAGGAACTATATTAGCAATTCTCCAGTCAAATGGTACAACCCCTGAGTTTAGAGATTCATTAAAATCCAATGAACTTGCAATTTACCTCTCCCCCGGCTTAGTGTCATCTGCAACCTTGCTGAGGTTTGCCATCTCCCAGGTCATTAATAAAGACGTTGAACAAAACCGGCGCTAGAACAGATCCTTGGGGAACCCCGCTTGAAACCGATCGCCAACCAGACATCGAGCCGTTGATCACTCCCTGTTAGGCCGGACAATCTAGCCAGCTTTCTATCTGCTTTACAGTCCATTTCTCCAATCCATACTCCCTTAACTTGCTGGCAAGAATACCATGGGAGATCATATCAAAAGCTTTGCTAAAGTCCAGGTATATCACATCCACTGACTTCCCCATGTCCACAGAGCCAGTTACCTCATCACAGAAGCTAATCAGGTTGGTCAGGCAGGACTTGCCCTTGGTGAATCCATGTTGACTATTCCCGATCGCTTTCCCCTCTTCCAAGTGCTTCAAAATGGATTCCTTGAGGATCCCTTCCATGATTTTTCCGGGAACAGAACCGTATAGACCTGGCTCCCGATCAGCCCCCCCACCACACCTAACTACTAAACTCCATGACCATTCCACAGTCAGGGAGAGAACCCAGGTGCACCCCCCGCCTCAAACCACTAGACTCCACTCCCATTCCAGATCTGGGGATAGAACCCAGAAGTCCTGGTTTGCGGCTCCCCTGTTCTAACCACTAGACCCCACTTCTCCCCCGGAGCTGGGAAAGCGCGCAGTTATCCTGACTTCCAGCCCCCCTTCGCCCCTCCCAACCTCACTCCCCTTGCAAAGCCAAAGACCAACCCCAGGCATCCTGCTCTCCCCCAGTCCCCAACGCTCCTGGGGGGGGGCTGCATCTTACCGGATCCTCTCCGAGTCGGAGGGGTGAGGCATGTGATGCCAGGCTGCCTCCTCCATGGCCTGCTGGTAGAGCTGCTCCTTGGTGAGGGGCACCGGCCCCAGGGGGCAGACACCCAGCGAGAGAGGGATGTTCACCTCCGACAGCTGGATGGGCGGCTGGCTGGAGGCCGGCTGAGAGGTCGTGCTGCTAATTAAAATATCTACAGGGGAAGGGGCAGGTGACAGCCTGTTAGATTCCACAGAGCCGTGGGGGCGCTAAGCATCCAAACCCGTCCACACAGCGTTCCCTCCCCTGGCCCCCCCTCTGGGATGGGGCAAGGGGCTGCACACGGAGGGACCCCTCTCCTGGGGCTCCGAATGCAGCCTGCTGGGCTGGGACACCACGTGCACGGGTGAGATCCCTTCCTGTCCTCTAGCAAGGCATGAAAGCTGCAGATGGGACTGCAGGAAGCTCCCCCCTACTCTAACCACTAGACCCCGCTCCCGTCCCAGAGCCTGGGAGAGAACCCAGGAGTCCAGGCTCCCAGCCCCCGCCCCCGGCTCTAACCACTAGATCCCGCTCCCCTCCCAGAGCTGGGGAGAGAACCCAGAAGCCCTCACCCCTTTCTGCCAGGTGGAGCGATGGCACTGGGTCCTCTATACTGGATCCGATGGCTGCTCGCTCTGCCATGGATTTCAAGCTGCTCAGGGGCTCGGGTGCCTGAAAGCGACAAACAGGATGGGGGGGGGGGAGGCTGGGGGCCCCTC